TGGAAACTGGCATTTTGACTGTTGACAAAATAGCTTCAGAGTATGGACATGGCCATGGACAATTCATTGCAGCCATTTTTTTTTTTATTGTTCTTAGGGCAGTTAGTTAATATCTTGGGTGAGTCGGAAGAAAGGAGTAATGCCTGGTCACCAAAGTAGACTCTGATTAGTAGGGTCTACTCACTCATTACAGAGAGCTTGTTTGAGCTGGGGAATTGTTTTTAAGGTGACCTTCCAATGTGGAAGACATTGTGTACTGTCACCTACTAGGAAAGTAACCAATTCTTTCTTGACCTGAGGCAGACCTTGGTCTTGATAGGGTGACAATGTAACCTAGAATCAACTATACTTTTTTCCGTGGTGCTTCAGATATGGAGACCCTTAAGGTATAGGTACAGTTCATGGTGTCAGAGAATGCTGGATGAGTCACTTGAGTTATCTACCATTTAAGGTTTGGGCATGGTACCACAGATCATCAACCAGCTCAGGTATAGGTGTACAGGTGGTCAATGTGGAATATGGGAATGTTGTTTCTGCATATTACTCAATCAGAGGTTGGGGTCAGTTTAAACTGGGAGGGAATGTGGGAAATAGCTTTTTAAAATTTTTTTCCACAAAAGCCAAGTGGAACCTTAAGGAATGTAGTCTGGAGGATAGGTAGAAGTTGAACAAAGGCAGTTATATTAGAATGAGAAAACACTCTTGGTGATAAATAGACTAACCAGTTGGAAACCAGTTCTGAGGTTAGGTATAGATTAACAAGAAAAGGGGTGTTCCCAAGAAGGGCTGTGGTCTCCAAATTGTGGGGAGTGGAAGATGTAATTAGGGGTGGAGACTCACGTGGGGAAATTAGGCGCTTCAGAATAGGCTATAACCTCTATAATACTCAGCGAATGAGGAAACAGGGAAAGGAAATTCGAATGGGGAATAGGGAATAAAAAGGTGTGCATTTGTTGATACATGTGCTCTCACATGTGTGCTCTCACACATGTGGGATGCCCGGCCTTCCCAGGTTGTCAGTAAAGCTTCTTGCTGATTCGACAATGGCTTCATAGAATTCGTGATATTGATATAGATAACAGTTAAGTCAGAGAAATATCCAGTAACAAAAATATTATGATGTGGGTAAAGTAGGAAAAGTATTTAGACACGTTGCCAGAAAACATTAACGCCTATGTATGTGATGTGTGCTTGGGATGTAATTGTATTTGTTAGCGTGTATTCCTTCATATGCAAATTAAATTATTATTGCATATTTTCTTGTTATTGTTTGCTCTTTTAGTTTATTTGCTTAGGTACTAAGGCTCGCATGTTCTTGTGTTCATGACCCTTCTCCATGCTTTATGAGATTTTTGTTGCCTTACTTTTTTAGCGGTTTTTTTAGCACTAGCATTTGCTAATGCGCCAATAGAAATGGAGTTCTGTTGCTATATGTGCACGTGATATGTTCTGCATATAATTTAGATTTATTCACTGAAACAACTGATCAAATGATAATTTGTATTACACTGTGTTTACTGAATATACAGGGTTTGTGTTGATGCTATGTAACTGGTACTCTGGGGTAATTATTCTAGATGTATTGAATTTTGCTGCATATTGTGATATTTATAATAATAATTACATAATATTTATGTAGCATTTTAAAGTTTGCAAGGCATTTACACATATTATCTTATTTGTTCATAATATATACCTCCAGATGTTCAAGTGTACCTCATGTAATTTTTTGTAGGCATTGCAAAATCTGTCTGATGGAGCTTCTGCTTCAGATGATAACAATTGTTCCCCCCCCCCAAAATTTCCTGAATCTCATGGGTACCATAAAGAAGAAAATCAGTATTGAGCTGCCTACAGGGCATGTGCCACAAATGGAGAGCACAATGTCATTATAATGTCTTACTATGAAGAGGATCTTTGAAAAGAGAGTCACTGTGCTTTCTGAAGAAGATGCTGAAGAGAGATACTGGAAGCATGTTGGAGACAAGACAGCATCTGAACATGGTTCTTACCAGTGACTTGTCCAGGAGGTATCTAGTAAAGGCTTTGTCTGTCTAGAATCTAGAAGGACATTGAAAAGTCCACAAAGGAATAGAGTAGCATTATTATAGGTGTATCCAGATTAAAAGCAATGAGCTAAGGTGGAAACCTTCCCTCACCTCTTTGCTTTTGAGAACCAAATGCTTGCTAGGGTCATGGCCTAGGGAAAACTAGGTGCAAAAAATATAGTGAGGTGAGATGAGGTGAGGTGAGGTGAGATGTAAGACTTTGACCAGGACTGGTTCTGCTATTCAAGAACTCTACCTCTGTATTTTAATTTTTGTTCTTCTTTAATAAACATATTATAATTTATCAAAGTTGAAAAGAGATTAAAATTTCATTAAAATGGGATCTGAGCCATAAGAGATATATGATGGATAATTTTAGTTATTCATATCCCCAGAAAAAGATCTGGGAAAACCTGAGACTGGCAGAAATTGGTGTTTCATGCATGGGCTAGGAGTGAGGTGATATAGCTAGAACTTTAAGAGCTTTCTAGGAGCTTACACCGGAAACTATGCCTTATGGGTTTTAACACTTTCATCTCTGGCATTTCTGCCCTGGGACCATGTGGGCTTGATTAGTTATTGTTCCTCCTGACTCACTTCTTTTTCTTTTTACTTCTTTTTCTTTTTTGATGAGGCAATTGGGGTTAAGTGATTTGCCCAGGGTCACACAGCTAGTAAGTGTCAAGTGTCTGAGGGTGCATTTGAACTCAGGTCCTCCTTCTCCAAGGCAGGAGCTCTATCCACTGTGCCACCTAGCTGCTGCTGCTGACTCACTTCTTCAGGAAGGTCCCGGCTATGCTTCATTTAACTCCACATTCCCAAGCTTTCTTCTGAATAGGCTTACCAATTACCTTACCACTACATATGAAATCTTCCTTTCCTCCAGTTTTTGAACCAGGATCGAATCAACTCTGCCATTTTTCCTAGAAGATATGGGTCAATACAAATTTTCATATGACCCCACTCTCTTATTTCTGTGTCTTTCTGGGCTAAAGTGCCCTTCTCTGGCCTCTATGTGTATTGTCTCCCTGTACTAGAATATAAGCCTCTTTAGGCCCTGGACTGTCTTCGTTTTCATATTTGTATTCTTAGCACTTAGCATGCCACTGAGTACCTAGTAAGAATTTAATACAATTCTTTTTCATTCATTCATTCATTTGTTCATAATTAGTTATAGCAACGTACCTGGGTTTGCACATACCCATTAAGTGATCTAGGATACTTGTTCCTACCCTTGAGCAGACATTTCACACTATGGGTCCTAGTGTTATTAATGGATGGTCAGATTCAAGACAATTCTAAGGGTTCACCTTACGCTACCAAATTGACAAAGATTACAAAAGAAGGAATAGTAAATGTTAGAGGGATAGTGGAAAGACTAATACAGCAATACTCTCTTGGTAACACTGTATATTAATTCAACCATTCTGCAAAATAGTTTGGAATTATGCTAAGAAAGTGACTAAAATATCCTTGCCCTTTGATCCAGAGACCTCACTACTAGGCATATATTCCAAAGAGGTAAGTGATAAAAAGGATCTGTACACTAAAATTTATATAGCAAAAAAAAAAAATCAAAAAACAACCAGAAATAAAGTTGACATTGGGAAATGAATGACTAAACAAATAGAACATGTGACTGCAATGGAATTTTATTGCACTGTAAGGGACATAGAGAAGCATGGGAAGATGTACATGAACTGATGTAAAGGGAGGTAACCGGAATCAGCAAAATTATGCACAATGACTGTACCAGTATAAATGGAAAAAACAACAATAACAAAAAATGAAATGAATTGTTGTAAAATTAAAATTATGAAGCTTATTCCCAAATAAGAAATATAAGAATATACATTTGCTTTATTTTGTAAAGGTGGTAGGATATAGGTGTAGAATAATACATATGGTATATATAGAATATATAGAATAATATATGGTATATATATACATTGGATTTGGTTGTCAGTTGTTTAAGTTTCTTTGAACTTTTTTTCTCTTTTTAACTTTTTTTTGGGTAATAAAAGATGGCTTTCTGGAAAGGGGAAGGATATGTTTGGAAATTAATGTTATATAAAAATGAAATATATCAATATATCTTTAAATAAAATAAATAAAATAAATCTTTAAATAAAAAAGAATAAAATAGTTGGAAATTTGCTACTTTAACAGTAAGACAAGGGCTTAGTTTATCTGGGCTAGTTATAACATTTCATGATAATCCAAGAATATTATGTTCTTCTTATTGAAATTCAAAGATGTTGTTGTTATCTATATAAAGGATCTAATAATCTCTTTATTTGTTAGTATATAGGCATTTTAATGTGACATTTTAGGTAAAATTATTATGAGGAGGCCAATAGACCATTTAGGGTAAGTTTCAAAATTTAGTCACCTTATACCAAATACTGAATGATTGTGCATCATGTTAAAATGACCTCTGTTTATTGTGGAATACTAGTAAGGTTAAAACTGACATGGTGTTGGGTATTAATTCACTTATATGTATAATATTCAGGTTGTTACTAAAGATGATTTATGAAGTCAGCGAATTGTCAAAGCCCATTGTCAGAGATTTGGGATGGTTTTATGTCCAAGTTAGCTGATTTGACAATGAATACGTATACCTTTTTCTGCTTATTAAATGATGTTATAAAGGATTTTCAAAATGTAATTATTGTTGTAATTATCTATGGTATATTTTATATGGTATATTATACATGGTATATTTTCATATTTGTATAATATATTCCTATTACAGTATAGATAATTCTACTAAAAGCTATTTACTTATTGATTAATAGATATAGGGTATTAATATTTCCATATTTTCTTGACTCCTTTGAGAGATAAATTAAACTACAGGTGTTACACTAAAAAGCCACTGTTTTACCCATAAATTATCTAGATGTACTACCACCTGTCATTGGCATATTTTCTCCTATGATTTACCAGAGATTTGTACCTGTGAAATCAATAACTCCAGCTCCTGGCACATATAACGACCATCGAACAGCTCTTGAGACCTTGAAAAAATTACCAGGACCAAAAAACATCCCTTTTGGTCTAACTACTGTTCGCTTCACACATGACTGCAGTCTAGAGGACACTCCAGGTTAGCAATTGATTCAGCTTTATATGACAACGTATTATTACATATGGATATCACATAATTTGAAAGTTAACTCTACAAGTTGGCATTTTAAAAAATGCAGCAAAATTATGGGAATTTTATTGTTCAAAAGCTCTGTCCTTTATGTTAAAATTAGTTAACAGTAATAATAGGTAGCATTTATATACTGTTTTAAAGTTTGCAAAGCACTTTACAAATATTATATAATTTTATCCTCGCAACAACCCCAGGAGGAAGGTACTATTATTATCCCCATTTGTCCAATGAAGAACTTGAGGCATACAGAGGTTAAGTGACTTGCCCAGGGTCACATAGCTAGGAAGTGTCTGAGGCCAGATTTGAACTCAGTGCTTCATCACTTTAGGTCCAGTGTGATGCCACCTACCTGCCTAAAGTGCCTACTGAGTGAAAAAAATGGGAACTCCTAAAAATTCGATATCTTAGTGTTTTCAAATAATTGTGAAGTTTTTCTTCAGATATCTAAATGTGATGAAAGTGAAGGCATTCGTTCTTCATCTTTTCTGAATTGACATTCTATCACTCAGCTAAATGTTTATATTTTCTCTGACTAGTCTTCCCATTTGTATATTTAAGGAAAGGCTTTGTACACCAGAAATAAGCTTTGAGGTTGACATCTCTCATAGACATCTTTTAAAATGGTTTTTTTTTTTTTTAAATTTGTGGCTTTTGTCTTTATATCCTAGTCATTGACAGAAAAAGCTCCCTTGTCCCATTTTTGCCTTGAACTTTCCTTTTTGACAAACAAACAAACAAGCAATTAAACACTTAATGCAATGATTGCATCTGACGTTATCTGCAGCCTTCTGCTATAGGAGCCTTCTGATTCTGTAAATATACACACACATATTAATTGGATTTTGTTGCAGGTTAAGGATTACCAGGCCAATGTGATACCTTAGGTTCAGTATTGGAAATGCTTGTAGAAGATATGACAGTCAACAAAAGAATATTTATATAGCCCTAGTAGGGAAAGGATATTTAACAAAGATGTTCATTGAGGATCCCACAATGATTGATCTGAGCACATGTACATGGTGGTCTTCCAGTCAAATATCTGGGAAGAGCTGAAGTTTTCCCTGGATTTTTTGTGCACAGGTGAGCAGGAAGTGATGTCAATGGCCTAAGCCTTAGTCGGGTGATTCGATTATATCTCAAGGATAGTTTCAGTGCCTTTTAACTAAAAATTATCCTAATCTGCAGGGATCAAGGCCTTGGGATATTGCTGTTACCCCACACAAAGTTCTTTTTTCTTGGTGAGGCAATTGGGGTTAAGTGACTTGCCCAGAATCACATGGCTAGTCAGTATTATGTGTCTGAGGGCAGATTTGAACTCGGGTCCTCCTGACTGCAGGACCAGTGCTCTATCCACTGTGCCACTTCATTGCCCTGTGCTCCCCTCCACAAAGTTCTTAAAGGTACAGTCTAGCAAGCAATGAAATTCCCCTGATGGAATAAACAAATATAACAGAAGGAAGAGGAGAAATACTAGACTTCATCTCCTTGCTTCAAAAGGATGGAATCCTAGATTTCATTGGCCTTTTCCAGGTGGTGGGTGATGCCAGTCTTTGCTATTCACAGTGGACCTCTGATGTGAAGAAGTAACCAGGGGCAGGACAAGGATGGCAGGGCTGCAGCACAGTCAAGGACACCTGGACAGCCACCAATCCTTAGCTGGGTCATTAGTTCATTACCCTCTTACGTACAGTCCACCCCAGTTCTGAGGTTGGTGTGAAGAGTTTCCCCGTGCCATCACTCACTGAGTGATCCTCAGCAGCCTCAGCACCTCTTCCCACCTGGAAGCTCTTTGGGGGTGGGAGGCAGGAGAGGTGTGTTAAGCTTCAGTCCTTTAGAAGCTTCTTCAGAGGTACTTGTCTTCTTACACAGAGGCTGGGTAGATAGTGTTGCCTCCTCACTGTTCCCAGAAAGCGAGGCCCCTCTCATCAGTGCCACCCCTTGTTCCTCTAAGCCCTCCTGGAGAGGAGTTGTCCAGTGACCACTGGGTACTGTGCTGGCAGTAATGTGAGGGCCAGTGAGTCCCAGGTGATAGTAAGCAAAGGTCTATACTAGCCTTGCCTTTACCAGTGTCCACTCTTCCATGGTCTGACATTGCCCTTCTGTGCCCAGGATAGGAGTGCTGCCATTGTTGGGGCCTGAACCTCCTCTTCCCTCTATTGAGGCCCAAGTGCTACCTCTCTATGCTGAGACCTAGCAGTGCTTCTCTGTGCCAGACTGGGCATTGCTACCCTTTGTGTCAGGGCTGCTTTGCACACTGCCTGGATGTTGCTGAGTCCGGAAATGTTCTTCCTCTAGTCAGTGGGCATCCTTTCAAATGCAACAAATTTATCCTGCTGCTTCTTGGTCTTCACTGAGATATCTAGAAACTCTTCTTGTCTTGAACGCACACAGCTTCTCATAGAAGGTTAAATCATGTCCAACTCAGTATCACTCACCTATGCTTAGGGAAGGATATGTATTTTTAAAAAGGTACAAACCCAGAGACTCTTCTATGCCAGTATGTGATATGATTTATTCACAATCTGTAGGCAGTTCACATCTCTGTCAGGATTGAGGAGCTTGAACTGCACAGAAGCCCCTTGTCCTCCTCTCCTTGGGAGCCCTAGAGAGAAAAAGAGAGCTGCATTTCACAACTGAGATTCTCTCTTTTAAAACTCTTCTAAGTCCTACTGCGGGGTGAATTTATCTATATCACCAATTCTAGAAAGATCTCTGAGCTCCTAGGATCAAGATCAAGCACTTTTCCTTTCAAGTACCTTCCCCGTCCCTGACACCAAAGAGTCACCACAAAGTCCAAATTGTACTGGCCTCTGAGAAGCTAATAAAAAACATCCCCTGGTAGTTCAGTATAGTTTTTTTTATTCTATCCTGATTATACAGTGGAACAGGAGGGTAGGGAAAAGGCAGGATCTGTGCACAGGATGATACAAATTCAACAAAGGACAGTTTATTGCAGTTTTCTTCAGGGTATTGTCCTTGAAGACATAGAGTGTATTCATACCTGTCTCTTGTGTTGAATGGCCGCAAATATTTTATTCTCTAATTTCCTAGGAGTAATGAGGGACACCTCCTGGTAACTAACCATCGTTGCCAAAAGCATCAGTAGAAGCATCATCAGAAATACAGAAGCTACTTGGGGCTCACTTTCTTCTGCATTGCCCCTACCCCCTTCAAGGAGGTCATCCTGTTCAAATCCCTCATGACTATTATTAGTTGTAGGCCATGGCTTACTAGGCCAACCCATTACCTTAAGTTAGATATGGGAATGAAAGAAAGCTCTCATAGAAGACCTGATAGTTAATAAGTGAATATTTAATTAACCACAGTAGCAAGAAGGATATTAAAGGATATCCAGTAAGGACACAACCTTGGTTCTGCTTAGCTCACCTCTGTTTTCCAATGGTGTCTGCTGATCAGTGTCAGGAAGCAGTGTCAGTGGCCTGAGCTTTGGTGCCCTGAGGCTATCAAATTTTGAGGATACTTTCAGTACCAAATTAGCTTAACCACCAAAGGACAGGACAGTAGGATATTGCTCCTGCCAGAAATATTTTTCTAGTTCTACATTCCCTTCTTTTTTTGTTTTTATTTTTTGCAAGGCAATTGGGGTTAAGTGACTTGCCCATGGTCACACAGCTAGTGAGTATCATGTGTCTGAGACCAGATTTGAACTCAGGTCCTTCTGGATCCAAGGCCGGTGCTCTATCCACTGCGCTACCTAGCTGCCCCTCTACATTCCCTTCTTAAGGAGACTGTTCCTGATAGTAAATCAAAACTTATAGTAGCAACTAGATTACTAACAGTGAAGATCTAATAAAATTTATGCATTTCTGTCAGGGCGCTTTCTGGATACCAGCTGAGTAGAGCTGTTTATCTTAGTGAGACTCTACCATACTTTGGAATACTTTCCTAGAGGTTTCAGGGGGACAGAATGGGGAAATCCGGTCTCTAAATTGTTGTTGTTCAGTCATGTTTCAGTTGTGACTCCATTTGGGGTTTTCTTGGCAAAGATACTGGAGTGGTTTGCCATTTCCTTCTCCAGCTCATTTTATAGTTGAGGAATGGAGGCAAACTGGGTTAAGTGACTTGCCCAGGGACACATGGCTATTAAGTGCCTGATGCCAGATTTGAACTCATGAAGATGAGTCTTCCTAACTTCAGGCCATCATTCTAGCCACTGTACCAACTAGCTGCCCCAGTATGTAAATAGCTATGTCATAATTCAGCTCCGAGGGTAAATCAGAATCACCTGATATTCTTCCTTTCTTCCTCCTGCTTTCTTTTTCTTCTCCTTCTCTTCACTTTTCTTCCTTTTCCTTCTCTTCTAAAGAGGGGTGGGACTTTGCATGCATGGCAGAAATACTAGCATAAACCAGCTACTTATAACCTTTCTCTCCATTAATATTTTGGTACCTCCTTGAGGTTTATCAAGAGATAATTACATGGCAGGATGCTGGTTGTTATGGTCATTATGAAAGGTTGAAGGACCTATGAGAAGTTCATGCATATGTTCCCAGACTCAGAACTGATTCCATGTGAGCTGTGGACAGTATGAAGTATGTTTCCTGCCCTCTGAGTCAGTGAAGAGCTAAAATAAAGTTGCTTCCTTTAAACCACCTGGAATGAGAGCTTGGAGATCCTCTATGGAGAGGTGTGAGGAGAATATTTCACAACCAATTGCCTGAGGAGCCCTTTTAGATCTTTAAGATGGTAGAAAGTCAAATTGAAAAAATGTGGTGGCTAGCCTCCAGGACAGTGGCCAAGGGTGTGAAGCAAGAAGAAATAGGGAAGAGCTTTCTTAGGTGACAATGAAGAAGACTGAGACAATCAGTGGCAAAGGAAAACCAGCAGGAAAGAAGAATCATCCAGCAGCAGGAGCCCATCATGATCATGATCATGATCATGATTATTGTCATCATCATCATCATCGTCATCATCATCATCGTCATCTTCATCATCGTCATCATCGTCATCATCATCATCATCATCATTGTCATCAGCAGCAGCAGCAACAGCTGCCTCTCGGTAGTAGTATTGCAGTAATTGCCACCAACAGGCCCAGCTTAGTCAGTGATAGCATCTACAGCCTGGGGCTGCCAAGTCAGAGAAGGAATGGAATTTCTCTTTCTATCTCTTGCTGCTGGGTTTTATTGATAATATATAAAAATGTTGATGATTTATGTGGGTTTATTTTATATCCTGCAGCTTTGCTGAAGTTGTTAATTGTTTCAATTAGTTTTTTAGTTGATTTTCCAGGATTCTCTTAGTATTCTATCATATCATCTTCAAAGAGTGACAGTTTTATTTTCTCAGTGCCTATTTTTATTCCTTCAATTTCTTTTTCTTGTCGTATTGTTATAGTTAGCAATTCTAGTATGATATTGAATAATAATGGTTTCTAATTCATCTTTTATTTTATGAGCGAGTTCATCCCATTCACATTTAAAGTTATGATTACTAACTCTGCATTTCCCTCTATCCTATTTTCTTCTGTTTATCCTTCTCTCTCTCTCTCTCTCTCTCTTTCTCTATCCTGTCCCTTCTCTAAAGTCTGTTTTGCTTCTTACCACTGCTTTATTTTATCTGGTTTTCCTTTTATCACCCCTCACTTTTCTTACCCACCTCCCCTCCTACTTCTCTGTTGGGTAAGATAACTTTCTTTATTTTTTATTTTTAGGCAATTGAGGTTAAGTGACTTGCCCAGGGTCACACAGCTAGTAAGTGTCAAGTGTTTGGTCTGAGGCCAGATTTGAACTCAAGTCCTCCTGACTTCAGGGCCAGTGCTCTATCCACGGCACCACCTAGCTGCCCTGTAAGATAGATTTCTATTGATAATTGAGTGTATGTGTACATGCGCGCACACACACACACACACACACACTTTCACACCTTTTTTATATGAGAGAATTTTCCCCATTCTTCCTTTTTCCCTTTATCCTTGGGGATCCCTCTTTTTTGCCTATACATTTTTTACATCCTCCGAACATAATAGACTCATTCCTACACCCCCTTTCTATGTAAAATCCTTCTAACTGCCCAGATAATGATAAAGTTCTTAGAAGATACATGTATCATCTTTCCATATAGAAAGGTAACTAATTTAACCTTACTGAGTCCCTTATGATTTCTCTTTCATATTTACCTTTTTATGCTTCTCTTAAGTCTTGTATTTGAAAGTCAAATTTCCTATTCAGCTCTGTTCATCAGGAATGCATGAAAATACTTTATTTCATTAACTATCCATTTTTTTTCCTTGAAGGATTATATTCAGTTTTGCTGAGTAGATTATTCTTGGCTGTAATCCCAGCTGTTTTGTTTTCCAGAATATCATATTCCAAGTACTCCACTTTTTTTAGTGTGATAGCTGCTAAACTTTGTGTGATCCTAACTAAAGCTACATGATATTTGGATGGTTTCTTTCTAGCTGCCTGAAATTTTTTCTATTTGATGTGGAAGCTTTGGAATTTGGCTATAATCTTCCTGGAAATTTTCATTTTGGTATCTCTTTCTGGTGGTGATTGATGGATCCTTTCAATTTCTATTTTACCCTCTAGTTTGAAGATATATGGGCAGTTTTCCTTGATAATTTTTTGAAATATGATGTCTAGGCTCTTATTTTGATTTTGACTTTCAGGGATTCTAATAATTCTTAAACTATTCCTCCTTGATCTATTTTCTAGGTCAATTGTTTTTCCTATGAGATATTTCACATTTTCTTCTGTTTTTCAATCTTTTGACTTTGTTTTATTGTTTCTTCATGTGTCCTTGAGCAAGTCATTCCACTTCCTCAATTTTAACTTTTAAGGAATTATGTTCTTCAGTGAGATTTTGTATCTCTGTTTCCATTTGTACAATTCTGGACAAATTTGGACAATTTTAAGGTGTCATTTTCTTCAGCGTTTTTTGTACCTCTTTTATCAAGCTGGTAATTGTTTTTTTTCGTACTTTTATTCCTTTGCTTCTATTTCTTTGTCTAATTTTTCCTATCTCACTCTTATTTGATTTGAAAATCCTTTT